AGCGACCCTGTAGAACTGACCCCTTCCATTTGCTTAAGAATGTTTTATATTTTCCCATGTTGGTTTCAAAGGGAATCTATCACTACTGGAAATATGTTTTTATTTTTGTCAAGGGGTCTTAACCAAATGGATGTCTTATGCCCCAAGCCGAGAGCGACCCTGTAGAACTGACCCCTTCCATTTGCCTAAGAATGTTTTATATTTTCCCATGTTGGTTTCAAAGGGAATCTATCACTACTGGAAATATATATTTTTTTGTCAAGGGGTCTTAACCAAATGGAAGTCTTATGCCCCAAGCCGAGAGCGACCCTGTAGAACTGACCCCTTCCATTTACTTAAGAATGTTTTATATTTTCCCATGTTGGTTTCAAAGGGAATCTATCACTACTGGAAATATTTATTTTTGTCAAGGGGTCTTAACCAAATGGATGTCTTATGCCCCAAGCCGAGAGCGACCCTGTAGAACTGACCCCTTCCATTTGCTTAAGAATGTTTTATATTTTCCCATGTTGGTTTCAAAGGGAATCTATCACTACTGGAAATATTTTTATTTTTGTCAAGGGGTCTTAACCAAATGGATGTCTTATGCCCCAAGCCGAGAGCGACCCTGTAGAACTGACCCCTTCCATTTGCTTAAGAATGTTTTATAGTTTCCCATGTTGGTTTCAAAGGGAATCTATCACTACTGGAAATATATATTTTTTTGTCAAGGGGTCTTAACCACATGGAAGTCTTATGCCCCAAGCCGAGAGCGACCCTGTAGAACTGACCCCTTCCATTTGCTTAAGAATGTTTTATAGTTTCCCATGTTGGTTTCAAAGGGAATCTATCACTACTGGACATATTTTTTATTTTTGTCAAGGGGTCTTAACCAAATGGATGTCTTATGCCCCAAGCCGAGAGCGACCCTGTAGAACTGACCCCTTCCATTTGCTTAAGAATGTTTTATATTTTCCCATGTTGGTTTCAAAGGGAATCTATCACTACTGGAAATAATTTTTATTTTTGTCAAGGGGTCTTAACCAAATGAATGTCTTATGCCCCAAGCCGAGAGCGACCCTGTAGAACTGACCCCTTCCATTTACTTAAGAACATGTTATATTTTCCCATGTTGGTTTCAAAGGGAATCTATCACTACTGGAAATATATTTTTTGGTCAAGGGGTCTTAACCAAATGGATGTCTTATGCCCCAAGCCGAGAGCGACCCTGTAGAACTGACCCCTTCCATTTACTAGAACATGTTATATTTTCCCATGTTGGTTTCAAAGGGGAAAATGTATCACTACAGGAAATATATTTTTTGGTCAAGGGGTCCTTAACCAAATGGATGTCTTAATGCCCCACCAAGGCGAGGAGCGACCCTGTAGAAACTGACCCCTCCATTTGCTTAAGAATGTTTAATATTTTCCCATGTTGGTTTTAAAGGGCCTCTATCACTACTGGAAATATATATTTTGTCCTAAGGGGTTTAACCAAATGATGTTCTTTTATTTTTTTTTTTTTATTTATTTTTTTTTTTTTTTTTTTTTTTTATTTTTTTTTTTTGTTTTTTTTATTTATTGGCCCCAAGCCGAGAGCGACCCTGTAGAACTGACCCCTTCCATTTGCTTAAGAATGTTTTATATTTTCCCATGTTGGTTTCAAAGGGAATCTATCACTACTGGAAATATATATTTTTTGTCAAGGGGTCTTAACCAAATGGATGTCTTATGCCCCAAGCCGAGAGCGACCCTGTAGAACTGACCCCTTCCATTTGCTTAAGAATGTTTTATATTTTCCCATGTTGGTTTCAAAGGGAATCTATCACTACTGGAAATATATATTTTTTGTCAAGGGGTCTTAACCAAATGGACGTTTTGTTGCCCCAAGCGAGAGCGACTGTAGAAGACCCCTTCCATTTTACTTTAAGAAATGTTGTATTTTCCCATGTTGGTTTCTAACGGGAATCTTTCACTACTGGAAATATGTTTATTTTAGTCAAGGGGTTTAACCAAATGGATGTCTTATGCCCCAAAGCCGAGAGCGACCCTGTAGAACTGACCCCTTCCATTTACTTAAGAACATGTTATAGATTCCCATGTTGGTTTCAAAGGGAATCTATCACTACTGGAAATATATATATATATATATATTTTGTCAAGGGGTCTTAACCAAATGGATGTCTTATGCCCCAAGCCGAGAGCGACCCTGTAGAACTGACCCCTTCCATTTACTTAAGAACATGTTATATGTTCCCATGTTGGTTTCAAAGGGAATTTATCACTACTGGATTTTTTTTTTGGTCAAGGGGTCTTAACCAAATGGATGTCTTATGCCCCAAGCCGAGAGCGACCCTGTAGAACTGACAAGCCGAGAGCGACCCTGTAGAACTGACCCCTTCCATTTACTTAAGAACATGTTATAGATTCCCATGTTGGTTTCAAAGGGAATCTATCACTACTGGAAATATATATATATATATATATTTTGTCAAGGGGTCTTAACCAAATGGATGTCTTATGCCCCAAGCCGAGAGCGACCCTGTAGAACTGACCCCTTCCATTTACTTAAGAACATGTTATATTTTCTCATGTTGGTTTCAAAGGGAATCTATCACTACTGGAAATAATTTTTATTTTTGTCAAGGGGTCTTAACCAAATGGATGTCTTATGCCCCAGGTCGAGAGCGACCCTGTAGAACTGACCCCTTCCATTTACTTAAGAACATGTTATATTGTCCCATGTTGGTTTCAAAGGGAATCTATCACTGCTGGAAATATTTTTTTTAATTTTGTCAAGGGGTCTTAACCAAATGGATGTCTTATGCCCCAAGCCGAGAGCGGGGGGGGGGGGTGGGGGGGAGGGGGGGCCATGTTAGAACTGACCCTTCCATTTACTTAAGAAAACATTGTTATATTTTCCCATGTTGGTTTCAAAGGGAAATCTATCACTACTGGATGATATATATATTAGTTATATTTTGTCAAGGGGTCTTTAACCAAATGGATGTTTATATTTCCCCCACAGCAGAGTCGCGACCCCTGTAGAAATGACCCCATCCATTTTACTTAAGAACATGTTTATTTCCCATGTTGGTTTCCAAAGGGTATCTAATCATACTGGAAATATTTTTATTTTTGTCAAGGGGGTCTTAAATAATAACATAAAAATAAAAAACCAAGATGGATGTCTTATGCCCAAGCCGAGAGCGTCCTGTAGAACTGACCCCTTCCATTTACTTAAGAACATGTTATATTTTCCCATGTTGGTTTCAAAGGGAATCTATCACTACTGGAAATATATATATATATATATTTTGTCAAGGGGTCTTAACCAAATGGATGTCTTATGCCCCAAGCCGAGAGCGACCCTGTAGAACTGACCCCTTCCATTTGCTTAAGAACATGTTATATTTTCCCATGTTGGTTTCAAAGGGAATCTATCACTACTGGAAATATTTTGTATTTTTGTCAAGGGGTCTTAACCAAATGGATGTCTTATGCCCCAGGTCGAGAGCGACCCTGTAGACCTCACTCCCTCTGGACTTCAGACATTTTGAGTCGCCATTTTAGTGTCGGACAAAAAGGTTTGGACTTTTCTTGGCCAATCCACTCAAGTGAGAGAGTTTACCTGGAGGGTGTCGCAATGCTGCTGATTCAGCGTGCCCCAAGACACCCATTGGTTTTTGCACTTGATGCTGCAGTCCTGAAATGTGCACTGCCCGCCATTTTCACAAGTCCCTGTAGGTATAATTTATCCTGGTTGTTGTCTATGTCTGGGGTGCAGATATTTATAGACTGGGTGGAATCAGAGGAGCTTTCTGATCGAAGTTTGTCGGAACCTTCTGGAAAGGATATCCTTTTGGAAATCGATCCTACTCCATGCTTAGGCAACAAGTTCAGATGAGGTGACTGAAGTCACGGCTAGTCTCGCCTGTTATTGGTGTTACATCATGGCTGTGGACTCTTCTGTTCGGATATCGCAGTATATCGCAGTGCCGGGGAGTTTTGATCATGCCGTTTGTGCAGGAATTTGTGGCAGAGGTTGGTCAACATGCGCGCGAACGTCCCTAGGCCCAACACAGATGAGGTTTGTCAAGCTTCGCCACAGACAAACTATGGAAGCTTTAGAGGAGCCTTTGGTTCAACAGCACAAAAAGATTCCGTTTTTGCCTTGGCTCTTCCTACAAGTTCTCAATGTTCAACTATTGGAGCGCCAGAACCTTTTGCAAGACCAGGTCATGCCCTTGTTTCCTTTGGGAGGGTGTGTCCCTTCAAAGTCAAGTAGAGAAAGTGCCTTTCTGTATCCAGGGCCAAGCCTCAGGGAACCTGGGCCTGCTGCCCCCCTACGGCGCAGTGGCAGAGACGCCGACCAGCCCCAAGTCCCCAGCGTCACCGGGCGCCCGCTCGGAGGCCGGGTGCGAGCTCAGATTCACTGGCCACCTCTAGTGTCATCATTCCTTTTTTTTGTTTTTGTTGTTTCTTTTTTCTTGAGGTAAGTAGGCTACAAGCGCGGTAAGTTGAAGAAACCCATTTACCATGGCTATAACCCACTTGAGTTGGATGAACATCCAAGTCAGCCCGCCTTTTCCCTGATCAGGGCGCATCGCTTGCCACGCCCGCGCTGGCGCAGAAGGACGAGGTGCAGAAGCAGAGTCGGTGGCTATTTTGAACGGTAAGCACAGGGGTTGGCAGTTGGCACAGATACAGAAGCCTGTAGTACCTTAAACCTGTAGCATCTTAAGTTAAGCTGGGGGTTGGAGCACCTTAAACCTGCAGTACCGTGAATAGCTTTTGGAACAGAGCTTTGTTGGTACAATTGCTCTCTGCTCCATTTGTTCCTTCTGGTGCCTAAACTGTCCTCCGTCCAACCCGTTGCAAAGGCCCGCCGGGCCAAAGGTCACCCTTTGACTGACTGAGAAACACTGATTGAAAAAGCCTGCTAAACAGCCAACTGTGTTTTTGACAATTCAGGAAATGGTTGGGTGAACTTTGATTTTTCCCCAAACAGTTTACTGTGAGGGGTTCTAAATTCATTTAAGGTGGCTCGCCTGTTGCCAAGCCCTAGCCTGGATGCCTGGCACAGCTCTCTGGGTGGACGGGTTCATTTGTCTCCCTGTGTCTCCCTTCATTTGTCTCCCGTTGTCTCCCAGCCTGGATGCCTGGCACGGCTCTCTGGGTGGACGCGTTCGTTTGTCTCCCTGGGTTCACTTGTCTCCCTTCATTTGTCTCCCGTTGTCTCCCAGCCTGGATGATCCAGTCTGGGTGGACGGGTTCATTTGTCTCCCTTTGTCATTTGTCTCCCGTTGTCTCCCAGCCTGGATGCCTGGCACGGCTCTCTGGGTGGACGGGTTCATGTGTCTCCCTTTGTCTCCTTCATTTGTCTCCCAGCCTGGGTGCCTGGCGCGGCTCGGGTTCATTTGTCTCCCTTTGCCTCCCTTCATTTGTCTCCCGTTGTTTCCCAGCCTGGATGCCTGGGTGGACAGATTCACTTGTCTCCCTTTGTCTCCCTTCATTTGTCGCCTGTTATCTCCCAGCCTGGATCTGGCACAACTCTCTGGGTGGACGGGTTCATGTGTCTCCCTTTGTCCCCTTCATTTATCTCCCGTTCTCTCCCAGCCTGGATGCCTGGCACGGCTCTCTGGGTGGACGGGTTCATTTGTCTCCCGTTGTCTCCCTTGATTTCTCCCGTTATCTCCCAGCCTGGATGCCTAGCACGGCTCTGTGGGTGGACGGGTTCATTTGTCTCCCTTTGTCTCCCTTCATTTGTCTCCCGTTGTCTCCCAGCCTGGATGCCTGGCGCGGCTCTCTGGGTGGACGGGTTCATTTGTCTACCTTTGTCTCCTAGGATGTCTGGCACCCCCTTTGTTTCCCTTCGTTTGTCTCCCGTTATCTCCCAGCCTGGATGCCTGGCACTTTTTTTTTTGGTGGACAGATTGACTTTTCTCCCTTTGTTTTCCTTCATTTGGCTCCTGTTGTCTCCCAGCCTGGATGTCTGTCACGGCTCTCCAGGCGGACGGATTCACTTGTCTCCCTTGGTTCCCCTTCATTTGTCTCCCATCTCTGTGGGTGGACGGATTCATTTGTTTCCCTTTGTCTCCCTTTATTTGTCTCCCGTTGTCTCCCAGCCTGGATGCCTGGCACGGCTCTCTGGGTGGTCGGATTCATTTGTCTCCCGTTGTCTCCCAGCCTGGATGTGTGGCACTCACGCTCCGCGGTTTCCTTCACTTCCCGCGGTTCTGTCCTTTTGGCGGGGTCTGGTTTGCCTTCGGCTTTGGCCCTGGCTTCGGTCATTCCTTGTCTTGTGGATGTTGGGGACAGGGTCCTCCTCTGTCTGCCCTTCATCTGGACTTCGATTTCGCTTGGGCTCGTGGTGGGTCGTCTTCCTGGTCTATCGTTGGCTACACCCTGTCTGTTCGTTCAGTGCCTCGTTATCAGTTGCGGTCCCGAGCTGACGATAGCGGTGCGCTGCGGTGCGCGGCTTCAGCTACGAGAAGGCTCTGTTAACCCCCCGGTGAAACAAACGTGAATCACGCTGGAGTTAAATCCTCTATCGATTCTTCGAGGATGTTCAACGAACCTTACGCTGGGGTTGTCCCGGCTCTCCCGGCGGACGGGTTCATTTGTCTCCCTCTCCCTCCATTTGCCTGACGGATTCATTTGTCTCCCTTTGTTTCCCTTTATTTGGCCCGGTTGTCTCCCAGCCTGGACGCCTGTCACGGCTCTCTGGGGTGGAGGGGTTCATTTGTCTCCCTTTGTCTCCCTTCATTTGTCTCCCGTTGTCTCCCAGCCTGGATGCCTGGCACGGCTCTCTGGGTGGACGGGTTCATTTGTCTCCCTTTGTCTCCCTTCATTTGGCTCCCCTTGTCTCCCAGCCTGGATGTCTGGCCCTTTGTCTCCCTTCATTTGTCTGGCACGGCTCTCTGGGCTTTGTTTCCCTTCATTTGTCTCCCGTTGTCTCCCAGCCTGGATGTCTGGCACGGCTCTCCAGGCGGACAGATTCACTTGTCTCCCTTTGTCTCCCTTCATTTGTCTCCCGTTTTCTCCCAGCCTGGATGCCTGGCACGGCTCTTTGGGTGGACAGTTTCACTTGTCTCCCTTTGTCTCCCTTCATTTGGCTCCCCTTGTCTCCCAGCCTGGATGTCTGTCACGGCTCTCCAGGCGGACGGATTCACTTGTCTCCCTTGGTTCCCCTTCATTTATCTCCCATCTCGTGGGTGGACGGATTGATTTGTCTCCCTTTGTCTCCCTTTATTTGTCTCCCGTTGTCTCCCAGCCTGGATGCCTCTCTGGGTGGACGGATTCATTTGTCTCCCTTTGTCTCCCTTTGTTTGTCTCCCGTTGTCTCCCAGCCTGGGTGCCCCTCTGGGTGGACGGATTCATTTGTCTCCCGTTGTCTCCCAGCCTGGATGTGTGGCACTCACGCTCCGCGGTTTCCTTCACTTCCCGCGGTTCTGTCCTTTTGGCGGGGTCTGGTTTGCCTTCGGCTTCGGCCCTGGCTTCGGTCATTCCTTGTCTTGTGGATGTTGGGGACAGGGTCCTCTGTCTGCCCTTCATCTGGACTTCGATTTTGCTTGGGCTCGTGGTGGCTCGTCTTCCTTGTCTATCGTTGGCTACACCCTGTCTGTTCGTTCAGTGCCTCGTTATCAGTTGCGGCCTCTCTCTGTCCTTGCTCGCATTTGGAGTCCCGAGCTGACGAGAGCGGTGCGCTGCGGTGCACGGCTTCAGCTACGAGAAGGCTCTGTTAACCCCCGGTGAAACAAACGTGAATCACGCTGGAGTTAAATCGTCTATCGATTCTTTGATGATGTTCAACGAACCTACGCCGAGATACCCAGTGGTGCTCTTGGCACCTGGGGTTGTCCCGGCTCTCCCGGCGGACGGGTTCCTCTCCCTTCATTTGCCTGGTCCCTTTGTCTCCCTTTATTTGGCCCCGGTTGTCTCCCAGCCTGGATGCCTGTCACGGCTCTCTGGGTGGACGGATTCGTTTGTCTCCCAGCTTGGATGTCTGGCACGGCTCTCCGGGCGGACGGGTTCATTTGTCTCCCTTTGTTTTGTTCTTGTTGTCCCCCAGCCTGGATGCCTGGCACGGCTCCCTGGTCATTCGCGGTGTATTCCGCGGGCACGCATGTTTGTTTGAGGCTCAGAAACGTGTGTTTGAGCGCGCGCGTGCGCTTGATCAAGCCACAGGCAGCATGCTGCGGATGCACGTACGAGTGCTTCAAGTAAATGATTGTGTGTTCTTGGTGTGTTCCAGCTGACCACATCGGCGCGTTCCAAGTGAACACGCACTTTTTGCATGTGACCACATGAGTGTGTTCCACGTCAGCACATGTTTGTGTTCCAGGTGAAAGCATGCGATTGTTCTGATAAAACACATATGCGATCCGGTCAAAATTCCTAGTAAGGGGGTTTAGTCTACAGAGGCCACCGTCGCAGTCACTTTGTGCAGTTTTAAATGGAGGGCCATTTTTTTCCGGAATTTTTTCGTTTTTTTTTAGGAATTATTTTTCTTTTTCAGGGTCGGTGGCTTTTCGGCTTTTTGGCTTTTGTGGCTTTTACGTGGGTTTTTGTGGCTTTCGTGGCTTTTCATTTTGCATCATCTGCATTCACAGTTCCTCTCTTTTCGCATCCTCTGCATTGCCAGTTCCGCTGCGGCAGGTGGCTTTTTGGCTTTTTGGCTTTTTGGCTTTTGGCGGCTTTCTGGCTTTGGCTTTTCGCATCCTGATGCTTTTCCAGTTGGCTTCCTGCATCCTCAGCATCGCCAGTTCCTCTCTGGGCCCCCGCCACCCCCCCTTCGATTAAAATGCACGCCTATTTGAATCATCACTTTTTCGATCATCATGCGACAGCTACTTTTTAGATTCTTTGCCCCTAATTTTTCGATCATCATGGGGGGGGCTGCCGCCCCCCCCAACCCCCCCGCTATTTTTTAGACTTTTTGCCCCTGATTGAATCATCACTTTTTCGATCATCATGGGGGGGGCTGCCACCACGTTTTGTGTTTTACAGGGATTAGTTTGCCCGTATTTGAATCCTCACTTGTACCATGAGATGCGGGAAGCCAATTTGCTGGTGATGCTGGGGATGTTGGCTGGACATGCGGGGGATGTTGAAAACGATGCTGATGATGTTGACGGACTAGCGTAAAATACGTACATTTCGCGAGAAAATGCTGTAAATTACAGCATTTTAGTAGCCAGGACGGAAAACAAAAAAATCCCAAAATAAAACAAACAATCCCAAATTAAATCTCGACCCGTTTTTCATTCACACAAAGCGGAGTCCTGCAAATACCAATGGATTGCCCGCTCCCCACTGGAGGCGCTAGGATGGCGCTTGGTTTGCGCTAGGGTCTTCGGTGATCTTGGTTTCCAAGAGTTGGCGCGTGGGTTGCCGCGATGGGCTTTGCGTGGCTTACAAGGGTGTAATGTTGCAGTTCTTACTTAGTACTTGAAGCCAGCCCGCACGTTTACCTTCATCTTACGTGGCCTTAATTTGTCATATCCACACAGATGGTCGCCGTGACTCCAAAAAATACGGCGAACCCGCGCTAGCCGCGCGCTAGCAAGGCGCTAGCGCAGTGGTCAGCTGTGACCGGTTCCCAGTTACGCTTCAATCCAAATGTGCTTCCGCTCTCCTC